TTTTTTTTTTTTTTTCCAATATAAAGCAAATGCTGAAACTCATTTATCATGGCTTTATTTTTTTGATCAAAATCATATTGAGAGACAAAATGAAATTATTGGATAAATTCATTCGGTGACATATGGATGAGGTGGGAGTTAGGGACATCTTGGAAAATGATTTTTTTTCGTTCATATGTTTCGGCAAGCGAATTTTGCTGTAGATTATTTGGCCTCATCAGCGGCGTCTGAACGTCTCGAGGTGCACCATCTGCCCGTCCCACCTCCGTCGTTAGGCAGATGGCTAGATCATGATTCATGACATTATTGGGGTGGCTTATCCTCGTCGTGTTTTGTCTTAACATTCGTTAGGTCTTGTCTCCCTTTATTGTACGGAAAAAAAAGAGAGACCAATAAATAAATAAATTAAACAAATCGAGATGACAAAATATTACTATTAGGATAAGAAAATTGAAAAAAAAAAGATATATTATCTTTTTGTTCAAATTATCCTTACACGTATCATATTGAAAAAAAAAATTAAAAAATTATAATCCTAGTCATCATATCCATTGTGACCTCATCATCATCATCATCGTCATTTCATGGATGAGATAAGATAATTTAGATTAGTTTGTTTTTCTTTTGTGCTTGTCTGCTTGACCGCTAATGGCTCGTTGAGGATTAATCCTCTTATTTATTATATATAAAAAAGCATTAAAATCACAATTATTTGCTTTAGTTTTAAGAATATTATTGAACAATTTTTTGCTAGTCGTTTACATTACTTTCATTCTTATCTAATTATTAGCTAACCCTAGTCTCCATCTACCGCCTCACCGAAAATTTTGTAAGGAAATCACAACATGATCTCATTGGAGTAGTCTATCAACGGAACGTGCGTACCATATCTCATTAGGCGTTTAACCTCTTTCTTTGTACCAAAAAAATTATATGAATATATATTGATTATTAAATAGAAAAAAGTTCGATAAGAACACTATCTTCACTATGAAGATAGTGTCTTTGGACATCAATTACTGGATAAGAAAGTGCTATTTGTATTGTGGATACAAATTAAAGTGATTATACATAAATATTATATGCTATATTATTGTTTCACTAGTGATATGTAAGGGATATAACATGCATTGTTAGATGCCTAGCTAGCTAGGTGTATATATTAATAGAGTAATGCTCCCCTACTTACGTTGGACACATTTTAATATGTCCATCGCTTATGTGACATGCATTACTTGATAAATAAATTTATTTTTTTTAATTAATATTAAAAATAATTTTATTATAGTTATAAAGATAAATATAAATTATTTTCTTTATACATGCAATATGAATGTTAAATCGAATCTCATCAAATTAATTTGATATATTACATATGTTCGAATCTCATCAAATTAATTTGATATATTACATATGTAAAACTGATAAAAAATACAAAAGTTATTAACTTTTAAAATATATATACAATTTAATAGTTATAATAAGGAATGATATTAAAATACATATAATACATGTAACATGACCATAAATAATCAAGAAATTTATGGTAATTCGAACCTAATTATTTTTAATTTGGAATTGAATTAAAATTTATCTAAATCTAATAACGAAACATGTAATTTTACCACATAGAATTCCGAAACACCATAAACAGTCACATATGCTCAACGCGTTCTGTAGAAAGATATAGAATATATTTTTATTCCATATTGCAAAACCTGGTTAATTTTTTTGAAGAATTCGTTGTGCATGTGAAGAGAATCGAGTACACTATAATTCCCTATATTCATTTTCTTTTAATTTATTGTATGAAGTGTCATTTCTAAACGCCACGTGGAGGTAATGTGGCGACATACCAGACGTGTAGACATGACGTGTTATTCCTAATGGACACGTGATATTTCAATAAATTTTATCATTATTTTGATCAATTTAAAAAAAAAACACTACAAAACTAGTATATATTTATCAATTGGATGATGATGACGGAACTACTGAGACATTCTACGGTCCCGTTACAAAAATATTATGTCGGAGTTTGTAACTGTTAGATCAACTATCGACGATGATTACGTGGTTACAAAGCATTTTCCAGAACTACTAGTTGTGATAAAACTTAAAATTGAATCTTCTGCCATTAAACCAAAAGAACCGGAAAATCAAGATTTACGCAATGTAGAAATCGTACCTCCAACGACTCGTGTCAATCAATTAAACTAAAACATCTTTTTCATTTTCGTGATTATTAAGATGCACGCTAAAAAAAAATTGTAATTTACAAAAGTCAGAGGTCGTAATAATCTTATTCCTCACGAAATTTTTAAAGTATAACGAATCAAACACGGAAATCACACTTTGTTGTTGGCCTTGTGGGACAAGATAAACCTAGAGACGACTTTTGCTTTACCCTCAGTTTTCCAATATTTATTTCCTTTTCACCTATTTTAATTTCTAATAATAA